GTTGGTAAACTGGAGCGGCAAAACATTTTTAGAACAACTGCAGAATAACCACTAACTCCATAGGATAGCAGACAAGATATTGCACAATTTTATATCTATGAATCAGTGAGTAAAATTTTCATTGCCAATTACACCGAAGTTAAACCAGTAGAAAAGAAATACTGCAAAGGTCTGATAGCATATTGCAAAATGATAAATAAACAACTATTACGCATTCATGCAACATAATACAAAGAGTAGTCACCCAAGACCTAAGGAGACGGCGCTTCGTCTTTACATGAGCAAAGCGCCCTGCACTTCGCAATACTGCCAAGTAATGTTCCACCCAGAAGTAACCTTCACCGTAAAGTCCTTCGTAAAGCTTGACATCAAAATAAATCGCAGAAATAGTATTTTAACTCTGAAACAAAGCTTCGAACATGGTGAGTTTTTCTCTGAAGATCAATATGTGCTTTTGATCTGCTTCCACGCTTAGTTACGCAGTGATTTAGTCAGCGATGAAGCTGCACTGCCATACGACTCGCTGACAATAAGACGACCACATCATTACACAATATTGGCCGTATGTTTACACGTCAGGGATTAATCAGTCACTTCATAGCTGTTTCTAAGGAAGTGTAATGGACGTATTACTTGCGATGGCGAATACGCAGTTAAGCAGAAAAATCTGCCCATTCTGCGATTACCATTCATACCTCTAAGGAGTAAAACAGAACTACTCTGTGCCCGTGCTCTGTACCACTTTTCAGCTTAAAATATGAAAACCACCAGAGTTTGGATGAACATAAATTATGCATCTTGTTAGACGTAAACAACAATCATAAACGTTTACTTGAAATATTGGCGTAGGACAGATTATACTTCTTCGACTTGACCAGATGCAGGCTGCAGCCTACAGCATTTAGCCCATTTTGCATTAATAACACAATAATGTTTCTTTATTCCGGACAATCACATCAACTGTGACAGTGCTGTGATTCACGATTTTGCCTCTTCATTTTTCTCTGGTGCATTGGCAGTAGGACAAACATTAAGTTTTCATAAATATGATAATAACGCCGTTAAGTCTCACGATTCTACTATGGAAGGAATAAATCTGAATCGCTGGAAGTCCTAGAGGAAGAGCTTTCTACTTCCTCTGTCAAATAGGAACACATGTTTGCCAATGGTATGTACTTATTTCATCCAATACCCGTCTCCGGCGGTGTAAGGCCGATCAGCTGATTGCTTTGGTAAAATAAGACGGGGAGAGTTAACGATGCACTCGTTACATCCAGCCTGTGTCTGTATAAGGTTCATATTCGATGACACTCTCAATCGTGACCAAAGATGAATTCTTTCCACGGATTAAACCACCTTGAATAACTGGAAAATTCTTAAACTGCTTCAAACAGCTGTGCCCACGGCGAATAACCTGACATTATCAACCAAACTGTTAACTAACTTTAATCATGGATTAGTATTAATCACATGTTACATAGTTGCTAACCACTTCATGAATCACAATGCAATTGTAAAAGAACAAGTAGTTGAAAAAACTGCATTCACTTTTGTTCAGGAAGAACTTTACATAAAATTTGCATCCGAAATTTCGCTTAGAAGACCACATCCATTTAAGAATGAATTATCTCATAATCTCGGATGAAAGACTCCTTAAACGCAGCAGTATTCAATAAAGATAAATGAATGGCAAAATTTTTCGTATTTCTATGCTTTGCTTCGTCTCCTGCCGGCAAAAATCATATCCATAAGCACTCTTTTAGAAAACGAAAGCAGCCAGTCTCCGACTTCCGATGGCGCTAAGTTCCCATTATCGCATCGTAAGACGAAAATATCGTAAATAGACGACGATCCTTGTATAGGGTATAGATGAAGGCAATGAGTGCATGACACGGTTATGATGCAATGCGTAGTATCACAGCATAAAGTGCTATATAGTTTTGTGTTAAATTTCACAAACACCGTACCTGCAATTTCTAATACAGTAAATGTTACAGAGTACTTGTACTATAGCGCACTGTAGAAGAAATTAATAAATCTTTTTAATTGTGTTACAGTACAGTGCATGCATTTGCAATCTGCAATACAGCAGCAACTTTAAGAACAATGTAATACACTGAAAATCAACAATAGCCTAAATGGCGCATCTCATCTTCGATATTGCGGTCGAACATATAGATGCAACACCTTTGCTAGATTCCATGACCCGCTCTTTGTCTCTGACAGTCGTTAATACGGTTGACCGGGATAATCGGAAATCACGAGATGTGTTGATGATTGTTTTCCCTCCTTCCTGCTCTTTTATGATCTTCATTTAATCATACAAGGTGATAACTTTCCTCCTCTTGTCCTCACTACCAACAGGAGAAACGTTAGCACGCTTGGGGATGATTCTCATCGACAAAAGCACAATTAAAACCACAAAATAACACAAATGGTACATATTTTTTGAATCGCTATCTCACTAAGGGGAACACCGCGGGTCAGGCAAAACACGTGTTAGGCAGCAGCCTTCCAAGTATACTCAAAATGTGGTATGGCGTGCGCTTACGCTTGGATGTTCTTCTTCTTGTGAAATCGGAAATATTATTCGAATTTTGTTGCATCGTAATTGCATCTGTGTATTTTCCCAATCATCATTACTATTGCAAATGACAATTTTGAAAGTTTCATAACGATATGCGTATTGGTACTTGACATTGCCGGTACATTCATGAACATGATACCTTTTTATTCGAAATTACACGCAGTGCAAACGTTCTTCTTGGCGAAAGACTATGGTTGCAGGTTATGTTGCCAGCCCTTTTCAGTCGTATACAATCAGTATATCAAATACATAAATACGGTAGAGTGAGACAGTCAAGATGCATCTGCAATGGACTTTTGCTCTTACTCTGTAATGTACACAAGCTAGGGATGACATTGAATCTTGACTGGGATTAAAAGCACCTCAGCAAATTAGCGCTCATTCTACATTCCAGTTTTTGTTACCATTGTTTCAGCAGTTAAAGTCAATCTATTACCGGTGGAAGTATTCTGCAAGGGAGCTGCCAAGCCCTTCCCAAGGGTTGCTCTTCTTCATTCGACTGATTCATGATGGTTGTTGCATTCTTATCTTCGCAGTTTCACCAAAGTATTATTATCTGCAAATTGAGCAATCTATTGAATTCATTACTTTAGTCTTTTTTTCGTTGGTTCTTTTGTCCTTAATCTTCGTCTAGCGAAGTTGCAACTTCTCGTCTCATTTCAAGACGGTCCGTATGTTTTCCTCTTTTGACACATTTCTAATTGACTCAAAAACGAAGCAGTGGAGACTATCGATGTCTGAGAAAGTATTCAGGGTTGTGGTTGAGGAACGAGGTTGTTACGGTTCCTTATTGTTCTTCTGATGAACTGTTACGGATACTGGCTTCTCTGTAGAATATTTCTGACGTCGTGAAGCTCGTTTGAAGTTTTGCTGCGTCGCATGTAAGGCGCATGTAATTGTTAATTAAACCTCTGACCACATCTGTTTTCGTAAATTTGAAATGATTAGGTTTGATTTGCAGGCAGTGTTCAGTTTGTGTCGGC